TTTTGTCCCACTTCTCCAGTCTTCCTGCAAAGAGAATCCTTTCAACCGGAAGCCATCGCCTGCTGCCTCCCCCTCCGCAAAGAAACCTCCCAAGGGCTCCAAGCCGGTGCGTCCTCCTGCACCAGGTCATGGCTTCCCACTGATCAAACGCAAGGTAAAGGGGCCCTTGAGAGTGGGGGCGAGGTGGGGGCAGGAAGCCAGCTCTGTAGTATGGCCCCAGGGCCCTAGCTGTGTACATGCACCCTGCTGATGCATGTGTGGGTAGGGATTGCACAGGTGGGTGTGGCAGATGGTGTCTAGGCTAGACCCCGCACCATGTTTTCTCTTTGCTCCAGAGTGGGGTGGGGTTTCAGATCCATGCTTAGGTGCAGTGTTCTGTTGTCCCCCTGCCCCCGTTAGTGTTGACCAGCCTTAGGGTTATCTGTGGAAACTGGAGGCTGATGGTGATGGAATTCTCTGCCTTGTGGTTTGGCAGGTGCAGACAGATCAGTATATCCCTGAGGAAGACATCTATGGGGAGATGGATGCCATCGAGCACCAGCTGGACCAGCTGGAGCACCGTGGGGTGGCTTTGGAGGAAAAACTTCGCAGCACTGAGAATGGTATGTAGAGTGGGCTGTCTGTGGGTGTGGGGCAGGATGGACCCAAGGGCTGCCTTGTGTTCAGCCATGGATAGCAGCAGTGACTTCCTCCCTGCTGATGCTGGGATTGGAAGAGCACAAGGGGCTGGGCTGGGCTTCAAGAATGGTCACAGCTGTACCCTGAACAGAGTGGAAACAGGTGGGAGAAGAGATAAGGTCCCTCTGGGGCCCAGGAACAGGCTGAGTTCAGGTTGGATCTGGCCACTCTCCTGGCTTGGCTGAGCCCAGACTGCTGCACGGTGATGGGATCCTGCAGAGCTGGGGGTGGCTTTGAATTGTCCTTTTGCTTGGCAGAGAGCCCTGAGGACAGCCTGCTGGTGGACTGGTTCAAACTCATCCATGAGAAGCACATGCTGGTGCGCCATGAATCCGAGCTCATCTACATGTAAGTGTGTGTTAGTGTGTGGGGAGGCACTGATGCTCTTGCAGGGGACCGTGTCTCAGTCCTCCTGAAGCTGTGCTTCCAGGGGAGAGCCTGACACAGCCTCCTTGCTGGAGAAGGGAGGGAAAGAGAGCAAGCAGACAGATGTATCCAAACACACTCAGAACTGACCGACTTAAAGTCACCAGAGCCCCTGCAGCATCTCCTTCAGGAAGGCCTTAAGCAGCCAGGGCTGGTCCCTGCTGCCAGTTGCCTGCATAGGATGAGATCAACATCTTGATGGTCCTTTCCAAGCTCGCTCCGTACCTTGGGATGATGTTCTGCTTCTTTGGAGCCTTGCAACAGTTCCTGGATGTGCCCCCTTCCCTTGCAGCTTCAAGCAGCAGAACCTGGAGCAGCGGCAGTCAGATGTGGAGTATGAACTGCGTTGCCTCCTCAACAAGCCAGGTAAAGCATCGCTCTGGGTGCAGTTACCTCCGTTTTCCCCCTGGGCTTCATCCCTGGTCCATTTGTTGGGTCTTAGATCTGTAGGGATGCCAGCACAATCAGCTGACTTTAGTACTGTTGCCCCATCTCACTGCATGCCCCAGACTTGTGCAGGGACGTGCTCCTTTTGTCCCCATGGGACGCCACCTACACGGCTCTCCCTCCACAGCATCACTAGCCCAGCTGGCCCTGCAGCATGGCATGGTAGCATGGGATCATGCTATAGGATCTCTGCCCCAGAAGTTCTGAGTGTGAGCTCCTTCAAGCCATTTAATTGTCTGTCCTTCCTTGCACTTTGGTTGGGTAGAGAAGGACTGGACCAATGAGGACCGAGGGAGGGAGAAGGTGCTGATGCAGGAGCTGGTGACCATCATTGAGCAGAGGAACGCCATTGTGAACTGCCTGGATGAGGACCGGCAGAGGTGAGTGAGGAATGGGGCAGGCTGGGGGAGAGGGGAAAAGTGTGGCCACCTGAATGGCTCATGGGTGTGTCCCAAGACGTCCCTGTTGCTGACTTCTCTCACAGGCTTACCAATTCTTATCTATTTGAATGCCTTGTGTGGGAAAGACAGGGCAGTACTTTCAGCATGTGGGATTTATCCTGCTGGTAGCAAATGCTCACAAGAGAGTGATGGATCAGCCCCTCTGTGGCTTATAAGTAGGAGGTTCTCTAGCCTTAAACAATACATCAGCTGTTTTCAGGGCTGAATTCTGACCTATTTCCCACCCTTTCTTTCAGGGAAGAGGAGGAGGATAAAATGTTGGAAGCCATGATTAAAAGGAAAGGTAAGAAACAGTCAGGAAGATTTTTGGAGTGATGGCTTCACTGCCAACCCCAGTGAGGGGCAGCGTAAGCCATTCATGAAGTTGCATGCAGCAGGAGAGATTGAATCTATTCTGTGTAGATTCTGCAGCCTTTCCTGTAGGGTGTTAAAGTTTGGGTCACAGTTGTGCTGCACATGCCTGTTATCACAGGAAGAGGTGTGCATACAGTGGAGTGATTGGATTCATGGCTCTCACCCTTGCTCTTGTTGATATGCACATGTGTGTACAACCATCAGCATTCCTCGGTAACAACCTCCCTTTGCAACTGCAGAATTTCACAAGGAGATGGAGACTGAAAGCAAGAAGAAAGGCAAATTCAAGCCCATGAAGGTGCTTAAGCTGCTGGGCAACAAGCATGACTCCAAGAGCAAGTCACCCAAGGAGAAAAGCTAGAGCAGGGAACACCAGTGGGAGGGATGTGCTGCCTGACTGCCTGGGCCTTTCTGCAGCTGGCCAGGATGCCTGCCAGGAAGCGGGGTCTTGTCTCCCTCTGCTCCCCTTGCCTCTCCCCCAGCTCCCTCCCCAGGCACCAGAGCTGCTGCCCTGGGGAGATGCCAGCCCTCTGCCCATAGTGGGGGAGTCTGACCAAAGCGCTCCCCTTCCTAAAGCTGTGGAGGAGCATGACCGTCCCCTCTGTGAAGCCTCGCTAACAAGGCAGGGAGAAGATGGATTGGCTTTTCGGATGTGTTACCCTGTTGCGTATTCTTGTTATTAACTGAGAAGCAAGCCAAGGAGTGTGGTGTTTGTGGAAAAACTTGCACTAAGTGCCCCCCATCCCTTCTCCTGCTCTAACTGTGACAGTTCCACGTGCCTCCAACCTCTGCCAGGAGGGGACTGGGCCTGCCTGTCCCTCCCTGCCTGCCTGCTCTTGCCCCTTCCTGTCCCATTTTTAACTTCAAGAGAAAATCTGGCATTAGAACCAGAATTCTTTGGGTTTTACGGGCCTGAACTAAAATATTAAGAAAACACTCCCATCACAAGGCTCTGGAGCCATAGCCAAAAACATAACCAGTGCCCTGTTATTTTGAACTGTCCCCTTCCTCGAGCACCAGGGCTGGGTGGGCTCAGTTAGTGGGCTGAGAGGACCCAAGGGGATGGTGTACAGCTGCTAGGACATAGCTCACGGGCCGTACTCAGGACATCTTGCCCCCCCACTGCTGCTAACCACCACTGGCTCTGCTGCCTTCGAGGGGAGGAGGAACATTACTTTTCCAGGCAAGGGCAGAAAAGCTCAAGGCTCAGTGCCAGCAAGGGGCACTGAGCTTGTGCCCCTGCTCACCAGCGCCACCCTTGAGCAGCTGGGAAAAGGGGTGCACTCACAACTGACCTTTACCCAGCTTTATCTGTGTAGACTTTAAAAGTGTGCAGGAGTTGGCTGGTTATTTTTTACATCTGTACTAGATGAATTCAAACCGACCCTAAAACTTTTTAAACCCCTTATTTTATTTGTCGTGTGTGTACATTGGAGGACGGAATGGTGGGGCAGTGTTCTTCCACCTGTCCCTTCCTTCCATTTTGTTTCCTGCCTTCTCCTCCAAGGCGAGGAGCTATTTATTGAGTTGTTGGATCAGTCTGAATTAGAGTTCATGGGTGTTTGGTTGATCAGCTGTTTGTCATGACTTTTCATTAGCCAACTAAATATAACCAGCCTGAAGCAATCTGCTGCAGCCCTTTCTAAAAACCCAACAGGATTTAGCCAAAATGCTCCCAGAGCAGTGCCTTGCAAGGTGGCGGCGTAGCATTCTGGAAAGGGATCCTCCTTTCCCAAAACCTGAGGGACCTCAGCACCACGCTGGTGATGCCATCCCACTCTTGCTGTACCCCAGCAGGCTGATGAGGAGGAGTGGTAGGGGAGATCCCAACGTACATCTTCTCTCCAAGGAGAAACAAATTTGCTTTAGAGCTTGCTGTCACGTCACTGTTGCCAAAGGACATTGAGATTGCTGCAGCCTGACACCCCTTGGCCCTGCGCCTGGTCAGAACTCTGATTTGTAAATTACACTGTACTAACTCCATGACTTCCATTCACTTGAACAGAAATAAAAGAAACATTGGATTTCAAAACCAACTGTGGCTTAGGTTTCTGATTCCTTTGTGCACTCATGCTGTCCTGGAGACAGGGCATGCTGCCTGCTTTTGGGGAGTGGCTGACGAGTATTGCTAAGAAGCAGATGATGGAATTTAAGGAAATCAGGAAGCCAACTTTATGCTGGGATTTATGCAGGAATAGTGGGGCATCATGCTTCAGCCTGCTGGAGGACAGGTAGCAGTATGTATGAGGTGAGCAAACAGCCATTCCCAGGCTCTGTGTGAGACAGATGGCTATTCTGCATACCATGCTTTCAGGAACCAAAAAAACACAGGAAGCCTGCAGCATGGAGCAGCATGTGCTGGGCTGAAATCCCCTCTCCCTCCTCAGTGCAGCTGTGCTCCTGAGCACCTGCCCAGTTCAGCTGCCACCAAGAAGTTTGCCGATGCACACAATCATGTGGGCCTGCAGCAATGTCGGAGGCTTGTGTTTGCACGAGGGTGCACAGCAGTATCTTCCTCACTGCCATCTGCCAGCACAGCCGTTCCCGAGTGGTGGGGACAGCAGTGCATTGTGGATGTGGGTGGCACACACATCCGCATCATGCTGTCACAAGAAACCTCCAGCTCTGGGTGGATGGGACGAGTGCCAGTTTTATTGGTGGATTGCTGTCCTCTGAGATACTGCATAGGCAAAAAGAGGCTCTACTTTGTCCTGTTGTGGTAGCCACTGCTGTGTTCATCTCTTTAAGGGACCCATTGCACAGGTAGGATTTTACAACCACTTTCTTCTGTTATGAGTTACATTCAACTTGTTCCGCCTTCTGGCTTTAGGCAACAGGTGGTGCTGCCCCCTCTTCCAGCACAGGCACAGACCAGTCCTTGAAACTCGATGCCAAGAGTCCACGAAAAAGAGGTGGGAACAAATTGCACTTGTGTTTTTCCCTTGGCCTAGTCGTGGGGATCGGATTTGTTCCCACCAGGGAAATCTTTTGTCATGATCTCTCTCATTTCCTCACTTCTCTTCTTGTCAGTGATCTCCATCTCACGCATTTTCTGCAAAGTACAAAGGGGAAGGTCTGAGCAGGGGAGAAAGCCAGCTGCTTTTTTTAATTCTTTTGCCAATCCCACGAGCAAAAGTTCTATTTCCCTGATTAAGTTACATGCAGAGAAGGAAAGAAAGGCTGAAAACCTCTATCCTCCATTCCCCAAATTCACGCCTTTCCTGTGCTATGAAGGGAAACACTCACTTCTCTGTCCCCTTCCCTGCTTGGGTATCAGAGGAGACTGTGCATTAAGGTTTCTGACACCAGGGATTCCTTCCAAGCACTGTATGGTCAGTGTCACCAGGGCCCTTGCATACCTGTGAGATTTCAGTGAGGACAATCCTTCGATATTTCTTGCCCTGTCCTAGAGCTTCCATCTCTGCCAGGAATTCCCTCCTCTCCTGAACTTCATTCATCACTGACAGGTAAGAGAAAATACTATGGAAACAACATGCAGCCAAAAGGCAAGAAAAAAAAACCATGTTTTTTCTAGATCTGAAACCCCACTTTTCCTAGGTCTGCTTGAACAGCAGTCCCGCCAGGGGAAGGATGATGTCTGCTGTAACACTCATCTTGCACATGTCATCAAAATACCTCAGTAGTCCCTCATGCAACGGGAAACGTTCCCCCTGCCCATCTTCTTACCACTCCCCAGTTTGCAGGAATAGTAACTTTCTAGTTTTCTTTGTAGACAATTCTGTTGCTTGTGGGCAATTTATCCAGTCTGTGGATAGAGACAGAACCTGCCTAAGCTGTTGAGGTTCACTAGTTGACTCAAATCATCCAGTGACCACAACCATCTCTGCTCCCAGGGGCAGCACTGGCACAGAGCATTAGCTGCTGCTTTGCAGCACAGACCTGCAGCCAGCTGGTCCAAATCTTGCCACAGTACAAAGTACGTGGGTATTTCAGATGTGTCAAGGACAACACTCAGCTTGTGACAAGTTTTAGAGGATACAAAACGTGTGAAGCCAGCCAGCTGCACTGGCTTCCCTACAGCAGGAACCAAAGCACCTCTTTCTGTACACATTATTCTAGTGTTGTCCATCTTTGTGCAGCCCTGGCTCGTGAAGGGCTGGCTGGTGTGTACACACACATTGAATATTCAAGCATAGAGAGGTATTAGGTGGGGTCTTGCCATACCAGAATACTCTGCAGGCCAGAGTCCCTCACTGCTTAAAATTCTGCTCAATATTGAAACTGCTAGTGTAACTGCTCTGATCTGGGAGTGAAATAAAACAGCCCAAACCATGGTCAGGCTGGCAAGTATTCTACTCTATGTTGAATTATGCTAGCTGTAAAAAGGACCTGCAGAACCTGGGTTTCCTGCCCAGATCACCTCACGCGTCCCTAATGGACTCCCCTGCCAGCAGAGTTCATTTTGTGTGAGCAGTCCAGGGACCTTGAAGCTGCCAGAAACCTCTGCAGTATAAGCTCTGCGAGGATGGCTGGATCACAGCATCACAGCAGCAAGTCCTTTCTTTCTCTTGGAAACTGGACTTTGTGCCTCTTTCTGCAACAGGCTTCAGGTTACCAGCAACACAGCCTGCCACCCCAGCCTTCAGAGGTAGCTGACTTCCCACCTGGGTACCTAAAGACGTACATTCTTCAAACCGGTCAAGCTGAGGTATTTCCTCTTCCTTTGTCTGAACCAGCATCTGCTTCACCTTGTGCTCCACAACATCCTTCCCTGTCGCTAAGATATTTTGGAGCCTTTGCTTCTCCTTTTCCAAATCTCCTGTGAATGCCAAGGGGAAAAAACTTACTATCAGCCTGTCTCCTCAGGGAGGAACCTGGCCACGCTGCTTCCCTGACAATGATGCCAGAGGAAGCGTTAAGGAGAGCCCATCCCCAAACTGAACTGCAAAAGCAGTGCACAGGTGTAGAGCTAACCAAACTGACATCAGAGTTTTGATTCACGTTTATAAGCTAGAAAATTACATCGTGCTCCCTTCTTGTGCAAGGACTATGCAAGTCCCTATCACCCCCTGTGCCAGCAGGCAGAAGTCAGCAAGCACTTAAAACAGATGTTCCTTCAGAGATCCCTTTTTAAAGCAGCTTTGAAGACAGAAAGCGTGACGGTGAAGTGCAATTAAGACACACCCTGCCACTACTGAGATTGCAGGCAGGGGACAGATGTAAGGGCAGAAGAGGGACCAGCCAGCATCACTTATTTATTAGCGGTTTGCCAACTTACGCCTTGCCTGTGGCTTGAATTTCTCTCGGGTGTAAGCATCTCCTGCCTGGCAGACCCTGGCAGGCCGGAGATGCGGTTTAGCTGAAAGCCTGCTCAGCTGACAAACTGGTGGGGAGAAAGCAGGTGCTGCAGGCACTGGCTCTTTGCTGGATGTGGGGTGGCACTGGAGGGGCAGGGCATCTCCTCCTGGAGAACAAACCAAAAATAACAGTAAGTCAGACACAGAGGAGCCTGGATACTGCCAGCAGAAGATCTGCCTGTTGATCCACTGTAGCACCATGAGTGAAGACTCCGGGTGCTACAGATATTTCAGCCTGGTTGTCGGTACACGCTGATATGAGGCAGACTGTGGTTCAAGTCATACCACTGCATCATTCCCTGGGTGACCCTTGGGGACACCTCTCCCTGTACGTCCCCGTGTGTCAGCAGTGGCCATGCTGCTGCCTTAAAGCACTTGCCCATCCAAACAGGCTGTGGGCGAATGCTCCCATCTCGGGGTGAGCCACAAAAGCGCTTCAGCACAGCAGCGGGCGAGAGAGCAAGAGGGCTGTCACTCACGTTTCACGCAGTCCATCAGGTATCTCCTCTGGAAATGCGTCAGCTTCGACTCCTCCATCATCGCTGAAAAATATGCCGTATGGGTGAAGACGGCAGCCCGAGGGGGCTCCACGCCCCGCCTCCGGTAGCAGGGACAGGCTGGGGAACCCGCCCCGGTACGATTCCCCCTCACAGCCAAAACCCAGGGGGGAAGACGCAGGTTTAGAAGACTCCGGCGCCACAGGCGCCGGGCCCGGCCCGTTCACC